ATAGCCAGAGCAAGCCATCAGTTCAAGCAGAAATTGGGAACGGACGTAAATGCTGGCCCAGCCAGCAATGCCTACATCTCATGAATGAATAAAGAAAAATATCCCATAGGCTTCAATTTTTCTTAATAGTCTACTAAATGGAATCTTGTCAGAACCCTTACTAAAACCGATTTAGACAACATCCCTTCTCAATGCTTTTTTCACTTCCTGAAAAAAAAAAGTTTAGCTGGTAAGGTATGTCCTTCCCTTAAAAAACCATACTGATTATCTCTGAGCAAATCTGTCAATCTCCAAGTGACAGTTAATCCTATATCCGAATATTGATCCCAGTAATTTGTCTACCACTGAAGACAGATAGACTGATATATAATCAAGTGGCCAATTCCTTGCCCTGTTTTTGAATGTTTGCAGCCCTTCATCCTGAAGTACCTCACCTGTATCTAATGCAAATTGGAACATGATGCTCAGAGCATCTGCTATTTCCTCTCTGCCTTCCTTCCTTTAGCAGCTTCAGGTACAATTCAACTGGCCTTGATAATTGACCAATGTTTACAAAAGTCAGTTCCTCTGGTACTTCCCTTCTCATTACACTTCGTTCGTCTAATGTTTCTTCAATTACAAAGTCTGCATAATCTTTCTCCTTTGTGAAGGAAGAGGAAAAAAGTACTCATTTAGAACCCTGACCACCTCATCTGCATCCAAGTGCAAGTTATCATGTACAGCTTCCCTCATATTGGAATATTGTGCACTGTTTTGGTCTCCTTACTTAAGTAAGGACATACTTGTCAGACAGGGAATTCAATGGAGATTCACTACTAATCCCTGGGATGGCAGGATTGTCTTATGAGGGCAGATTGAGGAAACTGGATCGGTGTTCTTTAGAGTTTCAAAGAATGAGAGGCAATCTTATTGAATCTTTGAAGCTTTTTTGAAGTCACAACAGTGTGGATGTAGGTGCTTCCCCTGGTTTGTGACTGTAGGACCATGAGATGTAGTCTCAGGATAATAGGCAGAAAGCCATTGAAGACTCATGAGAAGGAATTCCTTCATTTCAAGGGTGGTGAATCTTTGTAATTCTCTACCCAGAAGGTTGTGGAAGCTCAATTATTGTATGTGTTCAAGACATAAGCCAATAGTTTTCTGAAGACTAGTGACATTTAAGGGGTATGGAGATAGTGAGTGTTATGATATTGAGAAGTTGATCAGCCGTGATCTGGAATGGTGGGATAGACTAAATGGGCTGAATGGCCCACTTCTATTCCTGTGTTTCCTCACTGTTGCTCTGCAGTGTAAATTTAGACCGTGCTCAAGCCTCAAATTTTTTCTCACAGGGAAGAATGCTTCTACCTCAGCCACCATTGACAATGATTTGTCTTCATTACTTCTGCCATCAAGATCCTCCAACTGGAGGGTTTTGTGGTGCAGTGGTAGTGTTTCATAATATGTCTAAGCATGTTTTTTTCTAAATCCAGCAGTACTAAAGCTAATACTTCGCTAATCCTTCTGCACACAAGAATTCTTAGCACCTATTGACACTGGACCCACCCATTATGAGAACCATGCATGACATTCCTTTCATTTATGGAGTACTGCCTCCAGTAATTCCATTGTAATCTTCATACACAAATCTCATTGAAGTAATGAGGACAGAAGCCTATTATACCATTATGTTTACTTTGATACTGTGTGAAGAAGTTGTGATGGTTATTAAAGGAGGAAATGTTGAAGTACTGGGGTCTACAGCAGAGCTGGTGGCTAAACTATGTGCTTGGGGAAATTTGAGTTGCTAATTTAGTCATCCTGTCTTGTCAGCAGGAGGTGACTATTAATAAACATAATCTGGATACTGCAAGGAAAGTTGCTGGGATTCATGGCTCCTGCAAAGTTCTTACTTAATATAACATGATAATAGCAACAATAATTACAAGTCTATTATTACTTCACAGCAAAACAGTTACAGCACTAATGAAACTCCCAAACACACTGTTTATTAATGGTCTGTACATTGTGGAGCTGGAGGAACACAGCAGGCCAGGCAGCATCAGAGGAGCAGGAAGGTTGACGTTTCGGGTCAGGACCCTTCTTCAGAAAAA